TTTTGTGGCCAAATTCTACTGTGCCTAACGGGGTTTCAAGGTTTGTTAACATAGAGGGGTTCAACTCAAAGGTTTTTTTCTATGTTTAAATTTTTGCTTTCTTTCAAGAATATGAATTTCGTCCATTTACCACGAAACAAAAATGAATAGTCATATGTTAGGCAAAAAGTTAGGTTGTCACCTACGTGTAAAGATGAACTGATGTGAAAGCTCACTTAAGAGACAGGTTGCGTCTCATACACAAAGAAAAATTTCCCTGTAGTAAATATGGGAACAAATTTGCACGTAGCATTGGGAGCCCTTCCCCTATGCATAAAATTTTACTTTTGAAATTCTTCATTGAAAACTCCCTCTTTTGTTACGGTAACGTCAAATAACGGTATCGAAGAGTATACTAAGTACATGAATAAAATTTGCTTCCCCCCGCCTCCTTCACAAAATAGAAAAAAAATCTTTTTGTTTGTGCAGAGTTTTTTTTCGATGAGTATTTTTATCTGACCCCTATTAAAAATTAAATAAGGATGCTATGTCCCAGTATTGCCATAGAAATATGTTTTGTTCCTCTCGTGCGTCTTTACCAGATTCAAAATTAAACCTCCTTCCCACATTTTCCTAAAGGAAACCCAGTTCCGTGTTTATGAGACGCAATGTGCCTCTCTGTGAGACTGATTTATTTGATTAAACGCCTTCTTTTACATAAATGTATTCAATGGCGTTGTACACGCAGTAACATTGTACACAAATATTTCCATTTCTAATTTTTTTTTCTATGTGATATCTCTTTGAAAGTTAACAGAGTTGATTTCTTGATAATTTTACCGGAATGTAAATTAGGCAGGTCGATAAGACAGGGGCTACGGAGGCCTAATATGCATGCAAATCTCGTGCGTATCTGTCTCTGTATCTAATGCTAAGGAGGCCAAATATGCATGTAAATCTCGTGCGGCTGCCTTTGTGTTTAAGGTCAGTGGGCGAGGACTATTGAAATCGGCATGGGAGTCCTCGTCTAATTTAAATCTATGTCTAAATTTTTAAAGTATAAATCTACAATTTTATTTTTTAATGAAATGAAAATATATGGAATCACTGTCTAGTTAGTTTAATATGCCATGTTTCCCACTATCGTTGATGCCCTGGCATACTATACTAACTAGACAGTGATTCCTTAAATATACATGGAGAGCAATGATTAAAAGTTAGTTTTGAAAACATCAATAAATTTTTATTGATTAATAATGCAAAGGTAGTTCGTTCTATAATTTTAGGTACATGTGCAATGTTACTAAAATTCCGGTCGCTGAACTCTTTTCTTACATTCAATGGGACTGTATAACAGTCTTCGGAAATTCTGGAAAGCCCAATTGTTTATTTGAATTTTATTTTGACAAAAGTTCCATTAATTAAGTGCTTGGCCCACTGAACAGTTATACAAATGTCAGAATTTTAAATGATATCCTAGATTTGATAGGTAGCCGATAGAGATTAAAGTGAGTATTCATGTCTGTATATTTTTACATTCAAAATATTTTTTCTTTTTGAAATCCATTGGAATTCTTATTTAATTGCATTCAATATCCTATCAAACTATCAAACACACCAAACCTTATCTCTGCGCGGTAGAATACGTACATAGTAGGAGTTAGCAATATTCTTGGAACGCTAAAATGTGCATTGTTTTGACTCAATTTAATTAAAATCAATGGAATAATTTATCAAAAAAATATAATATTTGTAAGTCACCCCCCCCCTGCATTTAACATTCTATGTCACAAACGGCTCTTACATGTACGTCAGGTCTGACATGCGCTAAATTCATAAGAAAGTATGGTGAAATTTACAATTACTGAGTATATAGAGAGAAAATTAGAGAAGAATAGTGTAAGCATTTGATTCCTACTTTTGGATTTTTGGCACTGTTATAGGACCGGCGATATCAAAAAAAAGAAAAAAAAGAATTTGAGTTGCTTAAAAGTCTTTGCACACCGGTGAAAAATAAATCTTTTGCCTTCCATATGGCATTCACTTTTTCTTCGTGATGAATAAGCCAGGAATCCAAATCCAAAGATTAAAACATAGAAAAAACCTTTGAGTTGAAACCCCCTATGTTAACAGACCTTGAAACCCCGTTAGGCACAGTAGAATTTGGCCACAAAAGTTTATATTTCTTACAGAAAAAGAGACTGTTAAAGGTGAAAAAAGTTTTCATGGATTGTTTTTATATCAATCTTTATCTATCATTCTTAAAATGAGCTTTAAAGGTCCGCTTTTGAAAATTATGGAGCAAAGAATGTCAGCGATACTACAACTTTTCTCAGTCAAGTGAACTGTCCAGAAGTGTTTGCAGAATCCGTAACGCTTTCAACCAGCATACTGCACTAAATTGGAAGGTAATACATTCTTACAACCCGTGCGCATGTCATTTGGCCCCGAAGAATTCATTAGCAAAGGATTGTTACAAGTATATTTTCCAAATGCAAAAAATCACCGCTTCGGAGTTGAAACCCCATATGTTACTTAACCGAAACCCCACATGTGCCCCTATACACGGTGATATTTGAATTTTGATTTGAGAAACAGACATAAATCCACAAATATGAACATATCAATTGCTTTCAGTTTTTCAAGAGAAAAAGATTTTGTTAAAGAATCTATGTTTAGTTTAGAATGAATATTCTTTTTAAATATGTGTCAGATCTTGCATGTTTACATCTGTATTGAGGTCTTGCGTTTCCAAGGAAAGACATACCAATGCTAATGGTTAAGGTGATAAAGAAGTGTCTTCAGCAGCAATATATAAGGTCTAATATGTATATTGTTACAGTATAATTGAAGGAAAGTTACTATTTTGGCATAAACAATTAAAGCATTAACACATGTTCATTTGTCAGCACAAAGGACCTGTACATGTTGATTCAAACATAAGATCAAAGAAATGTCCAATCACATTTCAAAGTCAACAATGCACTAAATCTGTATACAGTTTAGCTCATATGAGCTAAAGCTGTAGTAATTTTTTTTTAATTAAAAGTCACCCATTATCATCTTTGTATTGAATTCTTTAGAATTTCATTTTCTTCTCAGAACAATGGACAATTTAAGTTAAACTTGGCACAGAGCATTCTTTAATGTAGGGGAATAAAATTTGTTCATATGAAGGGCAGTGCTTTCAAAAGGAGATATCTTTGTTGAATGTCCTGTGCAGAGAATTTTACTACACTCTTATTGAAATACCACCATTTGGCAATGGAGTTCTGCAAATCAGACATACACAACACATTCCTTTGTATTTCTGTAAAAGTATTGGTTTTCTTACTGATTGACAAAAAATGGAGATAGTTCATCAGTAACACATTGGGATTACTCATTGTCTAATTATGCTGTGTAAATGTTTTTAAAGCAATTTTTAAGCTGTTGATGTATTAAAAATTGATATTTCCATAGTATGCCACACTTCACTAACATGATTGCATCAAAGATTATATATGTCTACAAATCAAAGTCAAAATATGAGGGAGTATAAGTTTTGTAGGTACAGTTTCAATGCTGTTGGAGAGATTACCATTGGATTATTTATCCTCGTGCTCACTCCAGATTCAGACTTTAAGAAAGGGGTTTTGTTATTTGAGTCAAAGAAATAAAGAATGGTAGCAAAGTTGACAATTGAAACATTTCACTTTTTGCTTATCGCTAAGAAGGAAGACCCACTCGTTGCTTTGCAACGAGCTTTGCTCTAATTTATTTTGATTTTTTGTATGTGAAAAGTATTTTCATGTATTTTTATTCAGCAAGAATTTTGGTCAAAGTTTAAGAGTTATCTCCCGTCTGTATTAAAAATCGCGTGTCGCTATTTATAGCAAAAGCCATGTGAAGAATGGCGAAAAAATCGGCAATAAAAGCAGTTTTTTTAAATATGTAAGGAAAAGATATTTTATCAATGTAGAGGGGGCAGAGAAGAAAAAAGAGCACATACCATCACTGGCATGAGCAAATTTTTAGAGAGATTTTAACTTAGTAAAAATAGACGAGGAAAATGACAGCTGGTCAAGTTTTAGCAATCTCCTGCTGTGTGTGATTTTTTTATTGGATTAAATAATAAAACATCGTAGGCAGACTTTAGAGAATGCTAAGTGTTAAGAAAATGTTGAATCTAAAAACTGTTCAGGCCTAGGTTTGTACAACTAAAAGGTATTTGGGGAAGTCGTGCATACACAATTTATTGGTATCCCCACCTCATTTTGTTTGCCGTGTGCCGTATATGTGTACTTGATGATTTGTTAATAAACAATAAATATTTTTTTTAATTTTTAAAAGCAAGAATCTTCCTTAAATACTTTTAAAAAGAATATGAAAAGAATAAAATCTATTCATATTGGCATTTAATTTGATCTCTTTTGTAGAAAATAATAATTTTCAAATGAATTAGTCTATTTTTTCCTACAATATTTTTAAAACGTTTTATCAATAATAATATACACATTTATTACTATAAATGTAGGCCTAATGTAAAGATCCATTTTCTGTATAAACAATATTAAATTCTCAAAATAAAAAAAAGTGCCGTCTTGACCACTCTCAAGTGCCGTTTTGCATATTTCCTAAGTGCCGTTTTCACCAAGTGCCGTTTTGACTTGTACCCATTAATTTTACCAACAGCAACTTTTGTCTACCAATGGCAGAACTGTGAACGCACCCAATAATAGATCGAAACCACTCGTGTCGTAACCACGCGGGCCGAACACGGAATCGGAACGTAACCACCCGACACCTTCCTTTATAGGGTAACGTCAACTTTCCTTTTACAAAGGTCTATATACACACACATGCCTGAGAACATTGAACAATGTATTGTTTAGAGAAATATCATCAATATTGTAGCTTATATCACTATTAGGCCTAATTGTTTGAGACACTTGAACATGTTAAAAAGAATTAAATAATGTGAGTTTGATTATAGCGTAGTAATGCGATGATTCATACACCACGTGTTTATGCTTTTATAAACGATTACCACCGAACAATCCCGAAGAGTTTCTGAATCATTGAATTTTCAGCCATCTTGAATTTTAACAAGGTGCCCGTCTGGTGAAGGAGAGAGAAAAAGAACTCGTTTAGCTCTAATCTTTCAGAATCTTGGTATGTAAACAATCGTTAAGTATAAGTATGAGATTTTTAATGCTTGGGTTTTTGAAATATTTAGAAAGCTAATAATAATTGTCTTAAAAGCCGGTGAAAAAAAAATCACATTGGCAAGGGGTGTGGTGTGTGCCTTCTCTGGTTTGTTTTTTGTGCAGTGAATCGGCATAGAATAAGGGTTCTTTTTATTCTATTGGAAAAAATTGAAAATAGCCTCTCCAAATGGATAAAATCAACCTCTCCAGTGAAATTTTGGAGAAAAAAATCCCCGATGTTAAAAAAGTGTGTATAAAAAAAGATCATCATTCCATACATACAGGTCCAGAACAATACCCCGATAAAGGTATACTCGCTTCTCATTATATCGCGGGTTCCATTGTATCGCGGTATAATCCAAAAATTCAGATACATAGCTGACATCCTTTCTGTTAAAATACTATCTCATTGTCGTTCAAATGTAAACTTTTGTGATGATTAAAAAGTATAGAACATGCGTCGGTAAATTTTTTATTCAAATAAAACGTAATTTTACGGATTTCAGTTTCCGTTTTTATCATATTTAGATCATTGATTTTATAACCTAGTAAAAGCCATAATAAAGTTCATGTTTCGAAAGTCTTAAGTTTGTATAATTGTTTTTTTTTTAATGTAGAATTACATCGTAAATATAAAAATAAAAATTGAAGTCCATGTCAGCCACAAGTTTCCATGGTTTCCTATACCGCGATACTATGAGACTCTCCAATTTATTAGGTAAATAAGACTTCCCGTTTTAAAAATAGACAACAAATTAAACAATGCAAACTTGAGAAATAATTTGACACTAAAAAGTTAGGCCATAGATTGGTTTATTGATTGTATTTGATGAAAGTTAAAGTAAAAAAATTGGAATAACACTTTTTATGCAAAAGGATTAAGTACCGCGATATAACGAGACACCAGTATATCGTCTCGTATCCTATTTTCGACCGTATTGTATTTTCGACCTATTTTTATTGCTTCCAGTCAGATACCGTATGGTAGAACATTATTTTCAGTTTACACTTGGAAAAATACCTTTGAAGCACAATATTGAAATGAATGGGCACATTTTATCTGTTGATTAATCAAAGCCATAATCGGTTAATTAGAGAGATTTTTTTGACATTTTTCTTTAAGATCTCAAGGAGACGCATGAATATTGAATGTGGATCAAACATTCTTTTTTCTTACAGATTTTTACTGAAAAATGCAACGTAATTTCATTGATTTTTTGTGGAAATGCACAGATACTAACAGATGGCTTCAACCAACGAATAAATGTATTTGCAACCATAATATGCAACTTGTTCAATGTTTTTTTGAAAGACAGACAATCGCATTTTTATTGTTTGGAATATCCAATGGATATTTATAGCCATTACTGATTGGGCGTCAATACTATTTTTAGGTCGAAAACACAAGACGCTAATATTTTTGTAAGGAAAACTGCACCCTCTCCATATTATGGCATATAAATAAAATAAACACAAAACTGCAATATGGGTTATATCATTTTATTTACAGACACATATGCTAACATTTTAAGCCCATATTTTCTAAGATTCTATAAAGTTTGCAATAAATTAATAATTAACATCTAAATAGGTCGAAAATACAATACGCCAGGATATATAGCTTGATAAAGCTATATAGCTTTATCAAGGTATTTAAAATACCTTGATCAAGGTATTTTATGTAATGGAAATTCAAAAAAAATTCTTTAAAAATTAATTACTGAAAGTTGAGTTCTGAGTTGTCAGTAAATTCACCCATGACCATGCATGTAAAGTACTCAAACACAAACAGATCAGTATAGAAATGTGTTGTGTGAGGAGACGTTATTTTATGCTTTCTTTTTGATACCAGAGTGTTTTTCATGCACGAGTAGACACACTGACAAAAACTCAGAACTCGACTTTCAGTATTTAATTTTTAAAGAATTTTTTTGAATTTTCATTGCATAAAATACCTTGATCAAGGTATTTTAAATACTTTGATAAAGCTATATAGCTTAACAGGGCTTTCAAAAAGATTTGAACCAGGTGGTACTTTATCAAAAATAGGAGGTACCACTTGGCGAACGCCGAAGGCGTGAGCCTGCTAGGGTGGTCCGGGGGCATGCCCCCTCGGAAAAATTTTGAAATTTAGAAGCCACCAGACAGCATTTCCTGGTTTCTAGACACATAGAAGTATGCTGCTATCAGTGTTATTTTTATGCCATGTTTCAAAGTTTATTTTTGGTCAATACACATTACGTGTGAAGTTTAGCACTGGATGGGTGGAATTACATAGAAAAATTAGTTATTTGAGCAAAGTAACAATAAGATTTAGGTAAAACTTCAAAGTTCTATGCTATATTTGTTTATATAAATTTGTTCAAAAAAATTTGGCAAGGTTTGAGTTGTAAGTGTTATGTTTTAAATATAAAAAAAATTATTGAGTCACGAAAGGAAATGCCATGGAAATTCAAAATTTAAATTTACTAAAAGAGAAATGAAATTGTATTTGCATTAAATTAAATTCATTTCTGTTCTACAGTAAAGTGCAGATTTAAAAAAAAAAATTAGAAGAAGCACTACATGATGCATAGCATGTACCAATAAATTCAGCATATTTTTCATGCACTGGTACATGTACATGTAAAATAATATACATGTGTAAATTAGACAAAGATTTAGATTTAGATATGACTCCCTCACTTTACTGGATATGGTTACAATATTTGGAAGAAAGTAAACGTCCGCAAGGTCCTTCTCTTGACCACTAGAAAACTGCTGAATCAAAGAATTAAATGTGTGGCAAAAGAAATAGTTTCTGTTTTATGTCCTTTTGTTTCATCCGAAAGTTGCAGATATTTAAGACTGTAAGTAATTTATAACGTCAGCTGTGGATTTTGACACTTAAATTTGAAGAGTTGAGGCTATTAAAGTGTACAGAGGTGGTCAAAGAACTATCTACTGTTCATGTCGGTCTCTCTATCGGTCAATTGTATTGAAGACTTTCCGCGGTCTAGTTCCTTGCATCTTAAAATCTTTTGTGAAACTCATTACCATGGCTTTAAATTGACACTATCATTTCTGACACCTGGATTCTTATTTTTTTATTTTTTTGGCTGTATTTATTTAAAGATATTCATAGTCATTTAGCTTTTGTGAAAATCAGTGATGGTGGAATTTGATATCGAAATCTACTTTCGTTTTCGACAAGATCTACAAGACGCATTACGCAATGTTATCTCTTTTGTTTCATTTATTCAAACGCTTTAATGATCTTCTTGACTAACCAATCAAAAACGTTATTAGATACCATTACGGACTAAGAATAATACAAAGCTACGTAACCACAACTTTTGTAAAAGTAGGGCCTATCGTATTTTCATGCGATTTTGTTTTCTCCACTGAATATTTTGGCCGGTACCATAAATGAATCCAACCGGGTAAAAGTACCGGGTACCGGCAGATTTTGAAAGGCCTGGCTTAATCAAGCTATGTACCTTTATCGGGGTATTGTGCTGGACCTGACATAGACATAAAGACTGTCACCATTTTATCTAGGGGTGGGATGATACACAGATCTTACGATTCGTATCTCGATATATTAGCACGATACGATACGTATCTCGATATTATAATAAATTATAAAATTATTTTTAAAAAGTATTTTATTTCATTTTCTGTCTTGACATTAAATCAACTGCTACATGATAAATTATAAAACTATTCAAAAGAATAAGTATTTCATTTCACTTTTTAGCTCACCTGATCCGAAGGTTCAAGTGTGCTTTTCTGATCACATTTTGTCCGGCGTTCGTCTGTCCGTCTGTCTGTCCGTAAACTTTTCACATTTTCGACTTCTTCTCAAGAACCGCTGGGCCAATTTCAACCAAACTTGCCACAAAGCATCCTTTGGTGAAGGGGGTTCAAGTTTGTTCAGATGAAGGGCCACGCCCTCATTCAAGGGGAGATAATTGAGAATTAGTGAAAATTTGGTGGTATGTTTTAAAAATCTTCTTCTCAAGAACCACTGTGCCAGGAAAGATGAAACTTATGGGGAAACATCCTCAGGTAGTGTAGATTCAAGTTTGTTCAAATCATGTCCCCCGGGGGTAGGATGGGGCCAGAATGGCCGACCAAAGTTTTACATAGAAATATGTAGGAAAATTCTTTAAAAATCTTCTTCTCAAGAATGACAAAGCCATAATTCATCATATTTATATGGAAGCATGCTCAAGTAGTGTAGATTCAAGTTTGTTCAAATCATGACCCCCCGGGGTAGGGCGGGGCCAAAATGGCTGACCAAAGTTTTAAAGATATATATAGGAAAGTTCTTTAAAAATCATTTTCTAAAAAATAGCAAATCCATGATTGGTCATGGGACTACTTTTGGATTTAAACTTTACAATAAAAAGCCATTTTCTACTTTTTCCTACCCTTAGTGCTCAGGTGAGCGATGTGGCCCATGGGCCTCTTGTTATGTCTTGACATTAAATCAACAAATTATTCTTAGACTATATAAAATCATGTGTGCTTTGAAATTTAACTTGAGGTTCATCAATTTCATTGACTAAAACTTTACAAAAACAATAATACATGTACATATTATTGTTACGAAATTTCTATTTACAAGTTGTTTACAAACAGTTGTTTAGTTCATCAAAGAACACTGACTAAAATTTCATTAAAAAAACATCACATTTACATTATAATCAATTGCTGAAAGTCCGTAGGCTAGTTGAGATTACAAAAATGCACGAGATGGACTAACAATTTATAATATCAAATGTTCTGGAAACGATACCATCGTTTTCACATGGTAAAATTATTTTGATGAACCATTAATGGGAAAAGAAAATTATTTCACTACTCATCTCCACTCGCGGTGCTGTGTGTATAGCATGCTTTACATACTGAACTTTTATTGTCCAATCCTCCGAGGCTGCTTAAAAGTGAAAACGTTTTACCCCTAATCAATGACTTATT